CTGGACCAAGTCTTCACAAACGGAACCGCACCCACAAAACTCCAAGTGGGTAAGCAGTTTCCAGGTAGCGATCACAAGATTGTATATGGATACTTCAACATATCCAGCACAAAATTAGCCCAAAAGTCAGGAACAGTATTAGCTAGAAATCACAAGTATACCAAATGGGACGAACTACAATCGTTTCTGCGCTGACTAGATTAGAGCCCCTACTTTACCAACAGTTCAGCCAAGGAACTCTGTGATCTATTCTATGAATATATAGGCACAGCTCAAGACTATATTGCTCCACCGCTCCAAAGAGAAATTAAGAAAAACAGAGTTGACTGTATACCTGCGAAGGTATGCAACCGCATGCGAAGCCATGCCATAGAGTTGAATGACTTTTCATCGCCTGTCACACTCAAAGACACAACACATTCAAGATGGAAAGAGTACCAGAAGCCGTTAAGCAGGAAAGCATCCAATGTAGTAAAACTAATAATACAGAAGCACTAGTGAGACTGGTGAAAACCCGGATAAGTAGCCCCAGAAATAGTACCCCTAGTTTAATCATGGACAACGGCATCCTCTACGACGACCCACTACAAATCAGCGAGCTGTTTGGTTACCAGTTTGCTAGCTGCTTTACACAAGAGGACGAAATTAAAGTCATTGGTGCACCGTCAACACCAACTCACTCCATAAGTACCGTGCTCTTCACTTAACAAAACATTTCTCTAGCTATAGCATCACTTCGAACCTCATACAGTGAGGGGCCTGATGGAATTCCAACCATCTTGTTAAAAAGAGGTGGCGAAGATATACCGCTGATTCTCTTGAAGCTCTTTAATACGTCCCTCTCCAGTGGCAATTACCCTGAGAACTGGAAACTATCATACATATGTCCTAAGCATAAATGTGGACCAACATCTAATATAGAAAACTACCGACCTATAAACATCACGTCAGTAGTATCCAGGACTATGGAAAAGGTGATTGTGAAAGCAGTTGTCGACTATATGACGACAAACCAATTACTCTCACCAGCACAACATGGATTCTTGAAAGGCCGGTCATGCACTACAAGCTATCTTGACTATCTAGAGACGTTACAAGCAAGCGTGACCAAGGCCTATTTGTAACTACCCTTTTCTTAGACTTCAAGCAAGCATTCGATAAGGTGCCTCACAAACGCCTGGTCACTAAGTTGCAATCATATGGTTTCCGAGACCCGTTACTGTCCTGGCTTAGAACATCTTTAGAGGGTCGCTTCCAAGTAGTAAAATTCAGTAATTGCTACTCCTCCCCTAGACTTATACAAAGTGGTGTCGTCCAGGGTAGTGTGCTAGGACCGATACTTTTCCTAATCTATGTAAACGATATCTGCAGTGTTATCCGAAATGGCATACCCTACCTTTTCGCTGACGACTTGAAGATAGTCTACAGCTTTTCTCCTGCAGCACTAACACAGGGTTTCTCTCAAATACAAGAAGATCTGAAGAGGATATTCATATGGAGCGAGACCTGGCAGCTCCCTCTAAACCCAAATAAAAGTGGCATCCTCCATTTCAATAAATCCCACCCAGAAGTAACACTACACTTGGGTGATATTGCACTGCAGGTATACAACACTGTGAAAGACCTCGGAATCACTTACTCCAGAAGTTTGACTTTTACGGAGTATGCAGACTCAGTAGTTTCCAAGGGCAGAAGACTCATCGGTCTTCTACACAGAAACATACATCTGAGGCAAAACTTATACTGTACAAGGCTATGGTTCGCCCAATATTAGAGTACTGCACGGTTATCTATGGTAGCATGAAAGCGTCGGACAGAATTCGAGTAGAGAACATTCAACGGAACTTTACTCGGCGCCTACTAATACGTAACGAAGGACTTCCTTACGAAGCAAGATGCAAAAAACTAGGACTAGAATCACTCTGGCTGAGGCGCCTGAAGCTCAACTTAACCTTTCTTTTTCGTCTTTTATCTGGAAACCCTAAAACGAAATGTGCTGTCACTTTTAAAACAACACAGGCATATAATCTGCGTAATAGCGAGAACATCATCCCAATAAATAAGTATCGCTCAAAACTTCGATGTAGGTTTTTCATAACGCAATACAGTGTGCTGTGAAACAAACTTCCCGTTCCTATACGAGCACGTTAATCTCTCGGCCAATTTCAACGATTACTTAGAGAATTCCCACTATCCAACGAATCTCATCAATTCGTTGACGGTCAAACCACAAACGGTAATACCATGTGCAATGGTGCTACTGGTACCTAGGCTCAAGGGAGACTAACGGCAATGACAAAAGTATACAATGCCAAAAACTAAACGCTATAGTTAAAGTCTAATTTCTCTAAAAAAAATGACAAAGAGTGGAGGGGAAGCGGAGTGCGATACCATATGCAACAGTGAACTCAGTAGCTGCTCTAATGTAACCTACATTTCTTCATTACCCAACTGATCTCACGACTTAACACCTATTTCCTGAAATTCGTCGCCCAAAACAATCTCTCTTCTCTGAAAAGATAACAGAACTGGCCGTCGGTGCATTCTCATAGCATGCAACATGTTTAATTATTTGACCTCTGTTATCAGTACTTACATGTAAGCACTCTGCACCACCATATCGTTCCGGCAGCCCCGATATGGCAATACTCAACAGACTATACCATGATCATCCCTCCCCCGTGACTACATTAAGTGTGGTTACCATCTTAGAAAAAACCATGAATTTCACTCAAATGTTTATAACTTCATCAAATGTTTGCACATAGGTATATAACAAGTGAATACCTGGTCTAAAATCCTCTAATCTCCCTATTTCGTAGTGATATCTTCGGCTTCAGGCTGATTTTCATCAACGTCGTGCGCACCTTCATTTTCTTCCATCTAAGCTTACCTCTAAACAGTTGGTTCTGGATACTTCTTGAAGTAAGTTTTACAGTCAGTACAAAGAACTCACCCAGATGTATCATGGTTGGTCTGCTTCTGTGTATTTTTGTGCTCCCGTTTCGAATTTCGCCTGCTGCTCGCTTTTGTCATTCACTTTTCAGGTTTACCTAACCAGTCCCGCATTCAAATGGAATCCTAGAGATCGCATTTGTCAGCGGGAAGTGTTGCCATCAAAACTTTATGATGAATACGCACGCCCCAAGGTCATAACCGTGATGCGGCCTCATCTTCAAGAACGTTGGAAGATTCAAACAATAGCCGGATAACTCCTAATTTCGAACTGAGCCTGCTTCAACACACCTCCTATATGCCATGAGTATTGGTATCTAATGTATAGCTTAACACTGTACATAATGGTGATTTCTCACTACCAGAATGATCAAACCTGTAACCTGGTTTGTATTCATGTAACCTTTGTTGTATGAAATACATTATTATCATTGTTATGCCCTTCTTAAAGTATGGGAACATCACAAGAGAATTTTTCTCTAGATGCGGGCGGAGGTACAGAGCATACACTGTGGTGAAAAGAGGAGTCAGACACCCTAAAGTTCGCGAGAGAAACCCCAGGATCCCATAAGCCCTATTGGCTGCAAGGCGACAGCGGACTGAGGCTCCTAGTGCATCGTTTAGTGTAACTCCCAGACCTTGTTCTGTGTCAGAGTGACAGATATTTATTTCACCCAGATAGTAAGAACTGGAACTGTCCTTATGTTTGTCAACTGTCATGATTCGACGCCTCTACTAGTTGAGAGGAAGCAGATTTTCCGTAGTCCTATTAAGGATTTTCGCAAGGCCCTCCTGGAGGACCGAACTATCCGTCGGCTCCTGCACTTCTCTCTAAATCTTCAGGTCATCGGCATACGATGGTGAATGTGAATTAAGAACCCCTGGTAGGTCATTGATAAATGCAAGAAACAGTAGTGGGTCCAGTATAGAGCCTTGAGGCACACCGCTCAGCACCAGGAACCAATTAGATACAGAGGGGCCAACTCCGACTGCACCCTGGTGTACAGATAATCTCTAAGCCAAATTAATAATTTCCCGTGTACACCCATCGGCTGGAGTTTTTTACAAAGGGCATCATGATTTGCCCTGCCAAAGGCTTTAGAAAAACCGAGCAAATCAACGTGAATAGGCTTTTTCTGCTCGCAGAGAGTGTCCAGCTATTCCAAGCTATCAACGAGCTGGCGCTACATGACCTTCATTGTAGAAAGCCATGTTGACGGTCGTTTAGGATTTATTTCTTAAGTAAGTGATCACGAAGTGGGTCGCGTATGACTCTCTTTATGGCCCTCGCAACTGAAGAGATCAGGGAGATCGGTGTGCGGTTGGAGGTGAGTTGTTCGTTCTCACCTTTATAAATTGGGACGACAGCCACCCGTTTCCAATCGGAGGGTAAACTGCCTTCCAGAAACGAGCATTTGAAGAGGTTTGCTAGTGGGGCGCATAGAACTTCGGCGCACTCTCTGAGGGCTCTTGGGTGAATCCCGTCAATTCCTGGAGACTTATTCCAGTTCAGTTTATTTAATATTTCCATAACTATAGAGGGTTCAGCCCCTATGTAATAGGGGAGTCCTACAGATGAGTGGCTTTGCCTCCCAGATGGCAGTTGTTTTGGAGTTCATGAGCTTGTGGGTTTGCCGCCTTGAAGCTAGAATGGAGAATCTCTAGACTTATGGGGTCCGTAAAGTAAGTGAACTGTTACTCTTCTGTTTCATCAGCGAGTAGAGTATCCCATGATTCCCATGCAGGGTTTTGCAAGGTTGTGTCCGGTGACTTATTCTGTCGTTTCTGATTCTTTTCGTGCATTTGTTACGGATGCCTTTATAATTTAGCCTGTTAAACTGTTTATTGGTGCACCTCCAACATGACCGTTTACGCCGTATTTGTTTGCATGTGCTTGACTTAAGGCAGGAGGAGTAGGTAGGCACACTGCATCGGAATCCATCAGAGACCTGGAACCGTTCCACAAGACCGAGAAGCAAGCTCAAAGAAGTCAATTGTTTACACTAGCTTGTCGAAAGACATTGATAGTTGGTCACTGAAACCTCAAGGTCAGGCGAGTAGTTAGATATCAGTTAAGACCAACCTTTATGTTGTAAGTAGTGCTTCACATCTCTTTGTATGTTGCATTTGTAGCCCATTATTTATGGGAAGCTTCCCCATATGTTTTTTCAGCCTTGGTATGTCAGGAAATTTCGGCAATTTGTTTACGTGTCTAATAGCAGTAGTTACATTTTCCGACACATACTTTTGTGTAGCATGCGATATTTACAAAATTGGTTTGATCTGTTTGCAACTTCCCTTAGATTGTACTTCTGGTACAGATTATGAATAGGGACAACATCAAAAACTAATAAAATGGCACTGAACAGCGGTTTAATCTACTTATGTGATGATTAATTGCTCAGTAGTGACGAATGAGGTTCTCTCTGGGTCTACTTAGATACCGTTCATCAGTGTTGTGTAGATAACAAATTGGTTGAACTAATCAAACTTTCCGGGGTGGAAATTCCACTCCCTGCCCTCACGATTTATTCATGCAACCCGATCAGCCCAGTGGTAACGTCTGACTGCACTACTACCCTGTCAATATTTTCGCAGGGCAAAACACGAGGGCATGCTTTAGATTACAATGAAAACACGAAACTGCGTGACATTTTCCTGAGTTTTTAACTCCCGGTTTCTGCCCCGCGTCTGCGCGCATTTTGCTTTGCTTTCCCCCGATTCCCCCGCGTTTAAAAAAATGGCCTAGGGTTTCCCCGCGAAAATGTTAACTGGGTAGAGGATACAGTTTAGTATCTAACAGGAAATAATTTGGCTTTGAGGCTACAGATACGCCTTACTGCACGAAACTTAGTTTTAGCGCTTGTCGTTTCTCTCAAACCGAATAACACCTAGCGAAGTGCACGGCGATGTCCAGTCCCTTAGTCGTAGGATGGCGAGTACAAATGTGTTCTGTCTCGTCTCCATCCTACTTCAAAAATCTTGATTTAATGCTATCCAATAGTCTCAACTTCCGACTCAGCTGTATTCCAACCAACTTTTGAAGCGTGTCACTCACCGACAACAAACATTTTTACCCTCGTTTTTCGTGTGTGACCTGGGTTCATAGTCGGCTTCAAAACTAGCAAACCAAAGTCCAGAACTTCTGAAAAGGTCGTGTGTAATTGACCTACAGTTGATGTCTCATGGCCTTTACAGTCATGAACTGACTTTCATTTTCTTCATACCTCAAGAAGACCGATCCTCCCACGATGTGGGCGACTAGGAAATATCAACGCCCTCACAACTCTGTCAGCACTCAAGTTTCCTCAGCTCACTATCCACCTGGTCTTGCTTCTCGTCTCTTGGTCAGTAATCCTACATTGCCTTCAACTTCTTTCAGCTCTGTAGCTCTTACAAACCATCTGAATTCACGGGACAACATCCTTTGTCCCTTGAAACCACGCTTCAGGTTACCCGAAAGCTTTCGACACCCGAACCATCAACAAGCTACGCTAGCAACTCGGACCATGAATGTGTTATTTGTTTGAGACACCCAAGTGTGAGTGACTCAAGTGTGTCAATCCACTTAGTCTCACCTGGTTGATATGGTGAGTCCGCAAAATTCACCCTTTGGACCTCTGGAGATTTGAAAACTGGTTCTCGAGGCCTTGTAGGTGTAGGTATAACACTGACTGCTAAAGCAGGAAGTTCACTGCTGAATCGGACCTCATTTGACAGTTGCCTGTGCGCTGTTCGAATGAACGGCACGGTGAGGACTAGAAAGAATAGTCAAAGTCGCCGTTCTCTTTTAAATCTCTACTTACCCCACTGACTGCAGTCCGAATGAGTTCTCTCGAGAACTGTCTAGCCACCTACTGAAAGCCGAACGTTCTGGCGTGGTTGTTGTTGCAGGTGATTTCAATGCAGGCTAAGTAAGGTAGGATGGTGTATTTTCGGAAGCCCAGATAACGGTTCACCACAACTGTGCTCAGACAGCCATATATTTCTAACAAGCACGAACTGCAAATATAAAAAGCGACACTGTTACGTGTCCACCGAGTTTAATTTAACGGTGGACACATTGACCATATTGCTTTCAGTTATCGCTGGAAAGGGGTACTCCTTCTGAGACACAGAAGGAGTATGTCTGCATCTAGGTGGATGTAGAAAAACCTAAGCCAGAAGACCGTTGCGAGTGCAGCTGGACCATGAGAACACTAAGGCCCTTTCTCAGTAAGAAACGTGGTAGATAGTTATTGAAACAGCAACCACGCACATCCGGAAGAAGCTTGAGGTAATCTTCAGTCTGCTGCTAAACCAGCAATAAGAACCACAGCCGTAGTGGATCTCAGCAGCTTCTGAATGCATGTGAACACATCTCTGCAGGCTCAAAGTACAGTGAGGAGCGGAAGCAAGTGAAATGTAGTCTAAGGAAGATACTACTACTGAACAATTTGAGATTTTAGAAACCACTCAGGCTGATCTATAAGTTTCTCTATCCAGATGAGCGATCTAAACATTGCTGTGAGAAATGTCAACGTGGACCGTACAATCTGTAAATTATTTGCAAATAGATGCAAGTCAGCTAGCCAGATTCAGATAATCTGAACAATTCGGCTCTATGAGCGGAATTTGTCCGGGAAACGGTGTTTAGATCACTTATCTGGTTGTAAAAATGTACAGATCAGCCTGAGGGTTTTTAGTTACTCAAGTTGTTCAGTAGTAGTATCTTCCACCCGGTCATGATGAGTTCGTGTCGGAAATCATACCTTGTGATCTCGACGGAGTGATTTCTAGCGGAAACTTTGTTGACACTATAGTTGGAAAAATTACTCAGCTGTGGGGGAATGTCAACATGGACCGTGCAATTTATAAATCATTTGCAAATTGATCATCCTAGTCTGATGAGAAGTCTACGCAATGTGATCGCAAACAGTAGTGGGTAGAAAAGGCTAAGACGATGGAATAAACAGTGGTGATAGGTAACAGTAGAAAGTTATTTAAACTTACTCAGGAAACTGGGGCAAAAAGATCATTGGTTAGTGAAACTAAAGCGAAGGATGGGTCTGTGATTCGCTAACAGGGGAGACGACTGGAACGATGGGCGGATCACTTCAAAGAACAGTTTAGCTGCCTTCCAGCCACTATCCCGTTACCTGCTCTTCAGTTGAACCCTGAACGCAATGCAAAGATAGGACCTCCAACACGTGCAAAGTCCAAAAAGCCCTAGGTAAGCTGAAACGAGGAAAAGCAACAGGACCAGACGAACTAGTTCCAGAGGTATTTAAGGATGGTGACCGAGGGGTTTTAGTCAGCTGAAGTGTTAACTTGTGTATGGGAGTAAGTTATGGTCCCAAGTGACTGGCCTAGGTCACTGATTGTTTTAGTCTTCAAGAAAGGCGAGAAGTTTTAACAAGCGAATCAGTCTGACGGACGATGTGTCTCAGATCCTAGGTTCTATAATCAGACGTCTAAGTGAAGCTCGCGAATAGCGAATCCGGGAAACCTAAACAGGTTTCTTATTTAATTGTAAGCACATCAACCAGATATCCAACCTCGCCAGGTTCTGAAATACTGACTCCCGACGTACTTTATATCTCGGCCTGAAGGCGGCAATCGACTCCGTCAGGTGACAGGTCTTACGGTGGTGTGTCTCATTGAAAGGGGTATCGATCAAGCACATCAGTCTGTTGAGGGCTCTGTACTTGAACACTCGTAAGCGTCGTGAAGCCTATGGTGAGATATCAGGTAATTTGTGTACGGCGAGGAGATCCGTAAAGGATGCTCACTCTCTAATCTTATTCAACTATATCATTGATGTATTTATGGAGGTCTCACGTCGTCTGACTTGACGGATTTACCTTATCACAGGAGAATCCTTGGTAGATCTAGAGTAAGCAGATGACAATCCCGTTAGGTGAAGACACTGACAAGATACAGTCTTCTACACACCTTCAGTGGCAGTTTGAAGATGTTTAAGATGTGTTTCTCACCACCCAAATGCAAATTATTGTTCCAGGGCTGGTCTTTAGCAGTGCTTTGGCTAACGATTGGAAGTGAAGTAGTTGAGAGCGTTGGACACTTCACTTGGCTGCGAAGTCAGCCCTGGTGGGTCAGTGGCTGACAATATCTCTGCACGGATACACGAGGCTCAAATGGCTTTTGCAAACTTACGATATGTCTGGTGCCACCGAAGTATCCGGATTGTCTATTAAGCTTCGAGTATACTGCGCTGTAGTTCGCTCTGTTCTACTGTGCATGTGAAACATTACCGTTAAGGGTGCTTAACAACCGTTACCTTCGTAGCATAGATTGTCATGGTGTCACCACGCTTGTAATTTAGAAGACAAGTGTATAGTTTTAGGGAGGAGATGAAAGCCAGTTGATGCAGTTATGAACCTTCATAAACGGGGCTGACCGGGACATGTTACGCATGCTTAACCACTACCTAACTCTTCACTCCAATGTCAACTGAAGTAGGTTCAGCCTGGAAAAAGACCTGGGGTGGCCAAACCAGAGCATGGCATCACTCCGTGAAATCTTTGACTGTAGATCTGAGGCGTGTGAGGAAATTTAGACTCCTTGTTTTGGGTCCACATGACAACGGAAACCAGTGAAAGGCTCAAAATGGCAAACAAACAGAAAAAAAATTAACGCAGAACCTCGCACGGCGATATCAAAATCCTAATGGGCGACATGAATGCCAAACTGGGAGCAGACAACACAGGAAGAGAACTAACCATGGGTCGAGAAGTGCTAGGTGAGGTGATGAACGAGAATGGAGAATTGCTTACGGAATTCTGTGCATTCAACGATTTGGTGATTAGAGGCTAGGCACTGTGTTCAAGCACAATGATATCCACAAAGCGAAATGGATTTCACCAGACACCAGGACACACTAAAAATCAAATCGACTTTATCTCAATCTCAAGAAAATGTAGACGCAGTCTACTTGACACAAGGTCAAAAAGGAGAGCAGATGTAGGCTCAGACCATTATCTAGTGCAAGGAACCTTCCAAATCAAGTTGAAAACATTCAAGGAAGTTGGTGGTATACCACAGTTCAAGTTGAACACTCAGAAACTGAAGAAAGAAACTACAAAGAAAATG